GATCAAATACCAAATTCTCCAAAGTTACATCATGAGAACTGTATAGCAGACAGTAAGAACAATTACTAAAAAGATCTTAAGAGTAGAAGGGTTAAAATTCCATGGAGTAACCTAGCCTGTAGACAGCGAAGGGCTGACGCTCGAAATGTTAGATTTGAAACCCTTTACCGTGGCCAATTTACATTATCAACTCATATGATAAAACCAAATTATCTTATTTTTACAATTGAAAACTAAATGAAAAGGTAGCTTGAATCAACAAAGGATTTTTTGCTACAACCAGAGCAGCAAGTATTTGTAAACTTTGAGCTTGCACTGCCAAGTGAATTGTTTAATTTCAAATGGCTACATTCAGAGTCAAGTTTTAAGAATATTTTCGGACAATTTCCAAAAGATAAAGTTACACTTTAAAATCTAATGAAAGGAGGTTTCAATAAACTTGAGCATGTATTTTTTAATGATGGAATAAGCTGAGAAAATACCTTGCGGCTGAAAGAGACAAAACTAAAAGTATGCTGAGAACTACACTGCAAGTCTTACCTGGTTTAGTAGTGTAGTTCGCTTTGAATCCTGTATTTATGCCGGCTTCATTTGCCCTGAATATTATTGTTAAAGTGTTCGAAGATGATTCTATCACTGGTGGGTATGTATGACCACAGTATTTCCCTATGGTTCGTGACCAGTTTATTCCACCTTCTCGAACTTCTACGTAGTCATTAGCACATGTGGGGTGAGGCTCAATCGCGAATGACTGAAAATGGAGACGTATGGTGCGATTCTCCTCAGTGGTCACGTGCCAACTGCATGTCACGTCGTTTGGGTAATATCCGGGATATAGCGGTGATATAATAAATCCGAAGCTTTTTGCTAGAGTTTGTCTGCAAGCTTGAGGCAGTACAATGATAGTGAGACTGATATTGATTATGATAGTAATCATAATAATACTCATACTATTACTAATAATGATGATGATGATGAAAACAGTAATTATAATAAAGGTAAAAGTAATGTTGGTATGCAAAGCCAAGAGAATATAAACTCTTAGCAAAGCTCAATGGGTTTCGTCTTTTAAATTATCTGTTAAAGTAATTAAGAATAATTAAACCAGTTATGCTATTTCAGGAAGCGGTTTTTTCCCTCTGGAAGTAACCCTTTCTTTAGCAGCATAAACCCTTTAAAGTAAGTTGGTGTTCATTAAGTGTTCTGGTTAATGACAAGGTTCACTGAACGACATTTTAGTCAGAGGTTTCCTCCCTCGTGGATTGCATTTTTTTTTAAGCTGGCAGTACGGAGAAAAAGGAAAGTGACGCCAGTCGATGGAACCTTTCAAAGAGAAATTTCGTGGTTCCCTTTTGATTCTTATTTTTAATTAATGGTTAATCTAATACCTTTCTGAGCTGTTGACGGTTGAGGCGAGCAGTACGTCTCATGTGACATCGCAATACCTCCAAAGGCAAGGTAACCTGGCTTTCCATCCAGCTCGCCGACAATACTCAACTGCAAGTACACGACAGGAAAAAAAAAACCTTTCGTTTTGTTATCATTTGATTCGCAGGCTCTAGCCATCAGTGTACAGGTGTAATGACGATTAAAATTGCCAGTTCAAATGAAGAACCTTAAGTAATTGAAGAAATTATTAATCAAATTTCGTGATAATTTTGGTCGAGCTGGTAGGTTCCAGTAGTAAAAAAGCGGCCAATAGGTCTACACATGTAATAGGTAACAACTGGGCAGAAAAGTTGCTTTCATATAAGAATTGCTTTCCTCTTAAAAAGCTCGTTAAAAGCGATATTAGTCCGAAATGAAAGGTAAACTGAGTGAAAAAACTACACCACGAAGAGTAGAAATTGAGAGGAAAAAATTGGTTTTCATTTAGAATCAACGTAGTTTTAAAGTTCTCTGTAGAAACGAAATTAAAGGATCTCTTAAAGGAACTAAATTGCGAGCCGGAAGTGACCTAATACTAAGAAAGGTTGCAGAAAAAAAAAATTGAATATTTTTGGTTCTCATTTCAACATACCCTTTAAAAACTATATGCAGCTTTGTATGCAACACCTACGTCACAACAGTATGATTTACTTCTTTACTGTTCATAATTAGTTCAAAATGTTATGCTCACCCGAAAAATGGAAGTTGTACTAATTGATGTTTGCCCGTAATGCCAAAGGCTGCTTGAAAATCTAGCTCCTTTGCCGTCGACCCAGATTGGCTGCCTTTCAAATCCATATTGCGTCTCTTGATAAATCTTAAGCGACTTCACCCCACGACCTACCATTTTGTACTTAAATCTCAAACATTTGCCGAACGCTTTTTCAGACTTGGGCAGCCATGAACTTACAAATGTTGCAGTCTTCTCGCCAGTGACGACAGGATTGCCTCTCATAACAAGGGTTGGTTCTTCAAAACCAATGAAATATGAATTAATAGTCGTTACACTTTCATATAGCGGCATATAAACCCCAGTTCGAAACTTCATGTTTAAAGTAATTTTAAACTTTTGCAGTGTTCTGATCTATACAGGCTTAACATACCTTCATACACTATTCTATGATTAAAATAATATATTTCATGATGTATAAAAAATACAGAAGAAAATGCACAAAAATGACGATTGCACAAGTGTATAGTAACCTGTATTGATCTGCATTTCAGGAACTCAAATAACAATTTTCCTTCGTTTTTGACAATTCGATACTCTGTTATTGAGAAAAAGTAACTCAAATCAATTGTATTACTATTAGAAGCTAGGAAGCTACCATTGGAAGCTGGGATACATTTTTTCTGGTTTACATTAAACGGATCGCAATTAATAGTATATGTATACTTATTTTGTGCGACATGCAGTTAAGTGTACCCCGAGCTGAAAGTTAGATCCTAGCTCACCGTTATGTTCATTGCATATGGAGGACTTCTCCTCCTGAAATTTTTCCTTCATCTTCTTTCTTACAGCCACCCAGGATAAAATATCACCCTCTTCTTCACCACACCCATATGACATATGAATTATTTCATCTTTCGTCATGGAATAATTCCAAATATTGAAGTTGCTAATCTTTGCAAATATTTCAGAGTTGTGACTTGTTTCCATCAAGCTGATTGAGATTCTTCCAGTGCCTATCAAAAACGAAACTTTCAGTAAGTCACAGGGCAATCAAATTTGAACTTGATTTGATTTTCAATGTCTTATTTCGTAAGCCTCTTTCTTGCAGTTGCCAATAATTGTAAACGAATCTCACATTTAATCAGATCCATTTAAAGATCATTAAAACAAGACACGGATTGATTCAACACCCTTGAGAATAGATTCAACTAAAAAAAACTTTTTGACTTGCCTCGACAGAATTTGGGCTGAGTGCTAACGAAACACTTGCGTTCATTTGTAGTCGTAAGAATTCGTCCATGTTATTATAATGAAACAAAGAAATATGCATTTGAAGTGCAAAAGATATACTTTCTACATAAATATCTTAGCGTATCATTTCCCAATCACCCGGTATTGCTCTCATAGTTGTAACAGGTTCAGCTTTTATCGTAACTCCTGCTGCTTTTCCATCCTTGTATACATGCCATTGCCGTAAACTTGATGTCCACGTGACGCACAAGTGGTACCACTGACCATAATTAACTGGCAAATTACTTCTTCTGTCATGGAAAGAAAAAGTTTTAATTCTTAGATATCGTGCATGAATGAGATATGATAAGAACAGCGAATCGCATATTTATAGGAAAAATATCGAGGAAATACTTGTATCAGATCACAAATCGCCTGTGCAGAAAAACTTTGCTCCGTAGGAATTGGATACATTTTGCTGACAATCAAATATTGAATTGCATTTAATGAAAGTTAATGTTACCAAAGTAAATTATTCTTTTCATTGTTTTGCATTCAGGATTATCATTTGACATTGGTGGTCACGGTAAGGTATTATGACAAAGACAGAATTATCGTGGGAGGGAGGGAGGGGAAATTTGGGTCACTATTTGCTGGGCTTGTGCCGCTGGCCTCGTAGAAGCCCCACCCTATTATAGGCTATTCTAAAGCCACTTATAAATCCTATCTTAGTCAATCTAGGGCAAGTTTCATTTCCTTGCTCGCAACTCTATTAAGCATCTATCTTTCCCTCTGACGAAGGGCTCACGCTCGAAACGTCAGCTTTGGTTGAAATTCTTTACGGTGGCCAGTGTACGTTATCAAAATCTTTAAGTAGGTCATCCTTTTATCAACTGGCACATTTTTTAAACGGAACGTAAAACACGTTACTCTATATAGAAAATGCAACCCAATTATAGCCAATCAAATAGTACCACCCCATCCATCCCAGCAGCACATTTCCTTTATATAATAACTAGGAAGTACCCCTCCCACCCCCCCTCCCCCCTCTAGATTTTTCAAATACTAATTGAAATTTCATTTTGCTTACATTGTGGTATTTTTCATAAAGGTAATCTCCAATTTATTCTTGCTCGTCAAACTTAATCCAAAAACCTTCTCATCATCTGAGGTAACACGATATTCTAACTGCAGACTGGACTTGGTAGCTAACCATAAGCATAATGTCATCGCAGTCAAGGGTGCGTCGTTCTTAATATCTATGTGACTCTCGTCTCCAACTCGCAAGCTGATGACGATGCTTTCTTGTTTTTCTTTAAAGAGAAGAAGATTTACTTGCTTTAGTACATTCACGTGACTCATTTTATACCGATGAATGAAGGTAAAATATGTCCGAAAAATCTGAACTCTATGATTTATACACCAACTTGAACATTCGAAGTCGTGTAAAAGACGGCTGAAATAACAAAGACAAGTACGAAAAAGTTTGACATGATCGACTAATTTGTTGCAGGTAAGTAGTTGCAGCTCGATTAGATGTTTCCAAAAGTATTATACTTTGAAAAAAAATACCTCTAATCGAGAGAACAGGTCTTTTGAAATTATAAACAATTCCCCTGAGATCCGTCAGAACTAACGTTTTTAGTCTATGATTTTTGCCGTCATATAGGCGATTGGTTGCATTTCTTTTCTTTTCTATAGTACTTTGTGGTCTTTCCAATTCACTAACCTATCGCTTTCTTGGCTGAATTGTTCCTATCGTGGTTGAAATCGTCGTCAAGGCGTTTCATCTTATCAGCAGTAAAGAGGTCCCAAGTGGAATGCAACATTTCATTTTTCCAGCTCCACCATTCATCGTGTTGGTGATGCTCTTTTCCTCCTTGGACAAAAACCAAAACACATCGTAAACTCTTATTTGCTTATAACTTGAAAACAAAAAAACCAACAAATATGACATTAAAAAGAATGAAACCCAGAAAATATGTATATAACGGAAACCTTTTCCATCATATCCACAATATCGTTGATCACAATACACAGGAGCAGCCAGTTTGTAAACGAAAAACTCGCCACAGTTTTTTACTTTTATTTTTAGCCGCCATCGACACTTTGTACTACCCAGGACAAAACAGACATTTCGTGATACCACGCCGTCTTCAACGGTTGGGTGAACTCCTTCCATCCATCCAGGATATCTGGCTCCACAACGTCGAAAAGGAACCTGCTTCTCGGGGAGCTGAGTTCCTGCTGCGCCAGTAATTCTGTACCAGCGGTTGAAGTCTAGAGTATCATCACATTTGTCCGCTGTTGCCGAGTAGTTCACCAGTCTATCGGCAGTGTTGAGGGTTAAATAATTAGAACATTTAACAAAAGCTGTAAAGGCAAAAAAAAAGCGAGAGTTGAGGTTCGCTATCATAATTTCCTATGACAGCTAGTAAATAAAATTTTAACCGAGAACATATGAATGGAGTTAAGTATATAATCATCCTTGAAGTTTTGATCATCAATTACCTAGAGAAAATCCAAATAGCCAAACAACGGAAATATCGAATACTACGAAATTACAGCAAGCCTCGAGGAGAATACATTATCTTTTTTTCCAACAAAGTTAACAAACTGTCCTTGCACATGATCGCGATCTTCATTTTCAACTTCAGTAATTATGTATGCAGAAAAAGAGAGAGCATCCTAACTTCTCAGAAATAGTGGCCTAGCGATTAATTATTTTGGTTTGACTTTGACTGTAATGTGATACAATTTTTTTTTGCGTGTTTAGTTCATTGTAGTTACTTACGTGCAGTTTTATTACAAGTCTCGTTAGAAAACGTGATGTCATCGATCTTTATAGTCGCCTGATTTTGCTGTTTTGACCCCAGAAAAACGACCTCAAATAAGACAAAAATAGAAGGAAGGTATTTCATCTAAATTTAGATAACGGCGAGGAAGGCTTCTATTGAGTTAACACTGTATATTACTTCAAACAAGCGAAGTATAGTTCTCCGCGAGTAATTTGGTATATGATGTCTGATGCAGAGAGTTGGGCATTGAGAAGCGGCTGGTCTTCAAAAATTAAGGTGCATCGCAGGGAAATTAAATGTTTATTGCTTAAATTCTTACATCTCAAATTAATGCAGACCTCAATAATGCTGAGAGGCAAAGTTAAAATATTGTTAGATTTAGCTCAATATCTTGATCGTAATAACTAGGATTGACCTCTGTTCGTTACCTGGAATTTACTACCGACTCTTTGTAACGGAAGTTGAATAAACGTCCAAGTTGGAGTTTCTTCGTCAACAGACCAAAGCGTTGATGAAGAATTTGAATCAGAATCGTTTACTAGCAGCTTTAAGGATCTCCTGAAATATTCTCCTTCACTTTTAAACCAGAATCGAATGCATCTGACTTGAATAGAATCAATGAATGGACTCATCAGCTTTCTGTATAACTCTTTGCTACTCTGAAGAAACAAGTATTTCTCTGTAAAGTACAAAGCAAAGGAAGAAGACGCAGTTAAAAGAAGATATCAAAAATAAGGGTGAGAATAACAAGTTTCAATGAAAGCAGGTTACCGGTGGTCTGCCACCGCCTCTATTATCGCTGTCTGTTTAGCCGGCGAGCAGGCTCTCGTGTTTGAGTCTACTTTTCTACATGCGCTTTCACACAAGTGAGTTAGAGCCAGTAATGGGGTCTTGAAACGACAGCCTCCCCGCAAGCCATTGATTTTTGTATTTCCTACGTATATTCATAAACGTAGTATTCTGGCTGGTCAGGAATGACTGTAAAATCACAGAGGTGTGAATAAAAATTGAACAGCCCTCTAATTTAATTCTAGAGTTCCAGAATTTACGTTTGCGAGCCTCAAGATTTCAATTTTTCCTTGGGTAGCATGCCTCTAGACCCTCCTTGGAGAAAGGAGCCTCACAGCCCCATTTATGGGCCTAGCTGTCTATTGCACCATCGCCAACCGCTTATGGAAAGAGAAAGCCCTGCTGAAAATATTCTTAATGTTCTGTTAACTTTATGCTGTACCTTGTTATGATCTAGTCAGATCTGTGGACAGCGAGTGAGTTTAGGTTAAGGATCCACAACTAACCTGCACCGTGAATCTTCCAGTCGGGATCTCCAGTCCAGCCACACATATCTTCACTAAAATCACAATCAGGACTAACTGGGAAAGAAGCAAGAAACAGAATTAGACTCTTTTCTGGGGAGTTCCAGTGCGGTTATCAGTCGTTGAGTTGATAAATTTTCGTTTCTTTTCAAAGGTAATGTTTTACAGTGAACACACCATACTGTCTTTAGTTAGCTTACAATCACGGAAATGGAAATCAGTACAGAATAAATTACTTGTTCATCTCACCTTGGTTTGATATATGGGTGCAAGAGCCGTCTATTACACTTAGGTCGTCCAATGCAATGTCCCCCTCAAGGCCATTACCAACTTGGGCCTCGATCACGAACTGTCCAAAAACAATCGTACAAAAAGGGAGTGAATTTTTCAGTTGAATTGGTGCTCTCGACAAAATTCAAACTATAGTGGAGTTTCGGGCATGAAAGTTTCAATTTATTTCTACTCTAACTAGGATAAGACGATGGTCTGTGAAACATTCAGAAAAAAGTGAAAACAATCCCTACATCACGTTTTTTTTTTCGAAGGAGGGTCTCAATGAGGTGATGGCTTTTACGGCTAACGGTTAAAATTTTGGCCATTTTACTGCTAACCGGTTAACTTCCCTCTTTTGTGACTCGAAAAGGATTCATACGTTTAAATTTTTTAACGACTAACGGTTTTTTTTGCCGTTTTACGACTAACAAAGAACAAAGATCAAAACACTTTGACCCGGGAAGGTATTGAACTCAGAACACTAGACCCTGAGTCCAGTGTACTAACCATTAAGTTTCCGCATCTCTCTGATCTGTAGACTTGCCGTTAACGCCCAAAATCTGATACGTCTAACATAGTTAATCTCTTCGTCATTTGCCCCAACTTCCTTAATTAATCATTACTATGTTTGTGGATTGCCGAGTCACGCACCACCTCATTTCCAATTCCTATACCTTGTATGGACTGTCATTCTGAACAGTAGTCTGTGCAAAGATCCATCTATCTCCATGATCCCTCGATCCCTGCTGCCAAACCGTCATCTCCGACCGCTTTGTCTTAAGGAGGATGTTTAAGGTTCCAATGTGTCTTCCGTGCATGTGATACCAGAACTGCAAACATGCAGGCTCTTTTGGTATCAACCAGTCGCTGATGAGTCGAGCTCGGTCCCCCGGGGACTGCTGTGAAGCCTCAATAAAAATGTATACACCTGAAATATTGCAAAATTGTTGATATGGCATCCAACGAGGATACAACCATGCAAAAGGAGGATAACTCGTTACTTTGTAGCATTCAAGTGTCAGCTTTTAAGTCCGGGTGATTCCATTCTTCAAGTTACAGAGTGACCGATTCGTCTCCAAGATTCTTCTCTATATTTTCTATACTCTGCCTTTTATCAGATTGTTTATTTCCCGTAACTAGATACTCCATTACAAGACATCGACCCTTGTGTTAGTTCAAAAACTTGAGACTAACGCAAGTTGAAGGTAAAATTATTTTCCATTATAGATAATCAATGCTAAAGAAATGCTAAAATTTCGCACAAAAATACTAGGTAATAAAGGAAACTAACGTGATTTACACAATAAAACAAAATCAGTTGTTAAAGTAGCAGGAACAGGGCAAATAGGGTTTGTAGACTTGGGCCCAGGGAAGGAATCTATGATACCGACGGATCCCTAATGAAACCCTAGTGAAATCCCTAACGAAATTATACTTTTTTGCTGTTTCCTAGTTGGTTAATGGAGTATTCGGTTTGAAATACAATGGAACCTTTTCTACCCGCCAACTCTAATTTTCACAACTTCATGACAACTCGCTTAAGTTGACAATGCTTTCTATCGCAAAAGATGAAGTCTATAGTATTAAAGGCGAACGTCACAAGAAACTGACTTCTGACCTCTTCTGAAAGTCAATATTTTGTATTTTTGAGATGTTTTATAGTGTGTTTCGTATACTATATGTCACAACAGGCATTTTTTTCTAAAGTGTTGAACTAGATGTTAAAACGGGTCATATCCCCCTTCAAGGGGAACCTCAACCTACTAAGATAGGCAGGCAGGGAATAACTGGCTACTTGAAATGAAGAGAAATAAAATAAAAGTTTGCATCAATTTTATGTAACGTCTTCTAATAGATAGTTTACCTTTTTTTGAGAATGTGGTGTGATCACTACTGGGACCAGTGTTGAGTGATGGGGTTTTTCCTGAGCCATAACTCCACTGGAACTCCATGCTGATATCACTAGATAACCCACATAAACCATTTTCAAAGCCACAGTAGCCTGAAAACAAATTTTATTTAATAAGACTATTTTTTAATCCTCCTTTCTTTGAAATTTTGTTCACTGACACAAAAAAGTAGCCCAGAACTAAGTATTTTTGGCATCTTCGTGCGATGAGGCTAGTGTTTCCTTTTTTTTTGAGATTTCTGTAAAACCAAGATAGACTTCACTCCCCAGTTTAGCGAAGAGTGCCTCACGCGGGAGGTGTGATTGAAGGCGGTCTGGTCAGCCGATTTAACTCGTTGGTTTCAAGGAAGAGAGGATTATTTCTAATCTCGCCAAGAAAAACAAGGTTTTTGCTGAGATAGACAAGTATATACAATACCTCTAAATGAAGAACACTGCCGCTTTGTTTTTCCTTCATGTACCACGCAATTTAGGTTGTTCAAGGGACAGCTAGATGAGCCTGTAACATAAGGGGCATAGGTACTTTGTTTGAACTTTAATGACAATGAGATTATTTATTTCCAGTGGGTCTTACTATTTTTCTGAGACGAAGACCATGGATTGCAATTCTTTAGAATAGTTGTAAAAGATTAAAATGTATATTACAGGTTGCCGTGGTTCAGAATAGATTAGCTCGCAGATGGCGTCAAATTGTGATAAGAAAAAAAACGTGGTACATAGCCGAGTGTGTGACACGGACAGACACACGAAGACATGAAACCCATTTGTTTTATAGGATGAAAGAGCAGAATGTTGTTAATGGTGACGTCATCGACGCGTCTGTCCTCCAGTCGATAATAGCAATCAAAATATGCATATATATATATATACAATTCAGCTTAACCGTCATAAAAAGCAAAATAAGAAAGACGCTATGCTTACCACACACTGCAGAAAGATGCGAGTTGTCGGCGCACGAGTTGTCATCCGTTTTACAAGTGGCGTACCATGGGATGCAGTTTCCAGCAACACACTGAAACTCAGGACATGTCTTCTCTGGAATAATTTATTATTATAATTGTAAGTTCCTCGTAAGATAACCTGTTTAATAGAGAGTCTCGAACTTGAAAATCAAATGAAAACGCTGTCAATCGTTATATCGCGTGGTGGAACACTGACAGAAAAAATGAGTCCTCAACCCTGACTTGAACCTTTGTATTTTGATTTATCTTACGCTCGTGACTAACTGAACTCGTAACAAAATAAAATACTCTTTCTTTTGTTTGATGAACGAGCTCAAAATTTACCATCTTTGATATTCAAAGTACTATATTTATACACATGACACATGACACTTTCTTCATTACAGTATACAGGATGTTTGTTACATGCACCACCATCGAAATCCTTGGGCCTAGGGATTGATCATCCTCTTCTCTAAACCAATAAGAATTGTTAAGTTTTTAAATCACGAAGTGCAATGAAACAATTTGCAATAAACACGAGCAATGACATACCATTTTCAAAAAGAAAACTAAGACTATTTGAGGATAAAGAGGAACAGGTTGTCTTTCTTTCCTGCTCCCTTTTGCTATTCATTACATAAATTTGATGTTCCCTACCGCAGTTTGCCTCGTCGGAACCGTCAGGGCAATGTTGAACCCCGTCACATAAGTTGTTAACACGAACACAATTGCCGTTGCCACACTTGAGTTCGCTGGAAAGGCACGCACAATCTCGTTCATCTGAGTTGTCGGTGCACGCCAAGTCTCCATCACATCGTAGAGATGATGCAACACACTGTCCATTATCGCATTCAAATTCGTCGCTGTTACAACTGAAGCCTAAATCGTTAAAAAAAATTCTTCCGTCTGTATTTGTGACACTGCCACCTCAAAAAATTTGAAAGCAACCATTAACATCACGATGGTTTTTATGTTTCTCGTGATGCAATTTTGTTTTAACGACTTTAAATGGTTTAACGTTGAAGTTTACCTGCTGATATATACAAGTCTCATATAACTTTTCCCGACGTAATTTTTCATCGACCGACGCTCAATTTTACTGAACATCTGACGTTTAGTTACAAATTACTTCTTGGCTTGCCACCTAGGATGGTGCTTTCACTTACATAAAAATGTGTATTGCTGCAAGAGCTAGCGGAAAGGTTGCCCAAGAGGTGTGATGTTCTCATTTGGTACATTGTCCATAAATAGCATAATATTCTTGTTTTTATTACTTTTGTCTGAGTTATACCGCATGCTTTTGTTTTTCTCACCTGGAGAAGAGAAGACTGGGTATACCTCACAGTCATTGGTCGATATTTTAATTTTGCCGATGGCGATAGCAATTTCTTCAACACCGTTAGAGAAGCCTCTGAAGATCAGCTAAAGGACGTTATGAAATACATGGTTACTTCATCATTGTTCACAACAATTCTTTATAAAAAGCTTCCAGATTATCATTTTGTTACCTTGGAAGTCTGTCTTTCCTTCCAAGGCACTTGACCTCTTGACCATTGGTTCCCATGATACCCAACGAGACTGTACAGAAGCACTTCGCTTTCGTCGTGAACCGACTTTAAACTCACGTTGAAATTTGAAGCAGATTTACTCTGCATCAAGAAGCTAAATGTCAAACATAAGGGGACAGACTCTCCAGCCGAAATTGGGGGTGTTTCTAGTATGACGTAGTTATGAGTGCCACCGGTATACGCAAAGTTACCTGAAAGAAAAAGTCAACTGGAACAGGGTTCACAAAAAAACGTTATTCATTTAATTCGGTAGAAGGTGTAGTTTGAATGGTGCGAAAAAATGATTACAAAGTCGGGTAATATGAATTTAAAGACGCTTCGGAGTGTTTTGGTAATGTTATCAAAAGGGAAACTAGTGCGTCTATGATAGAAAACAAGTCAAGAGATTTTGAGTTATTAGTCATTTCTTTAATCCTTTTTGGACGAGAAATTACATAAATATTAACTATTTGGATGAACTTTCTGACCTATTCAAAGGGTTATAAAACTTTGCGGAGTACTATGAGTCGTCACATCTTTTTAAATTTTAGCTCGGCCTTGCATCATGTGTTCCAATTGGGATGCAGATTATTTCCGGCCTGAAGCATCATGTAATTATCTTTTCATTTTAACGACTATAAGCAAGTTTAATCGTTGAGACCAAAAAAAAATTGACACTGAGACACAGTAGACTTCTAATGTCTCAAGATTTAAAGCATTGACCATTTCAACGGTGTAAACTACAAATATGAAATTTATACCTCTTTCACCGGTTCTGTTTGTTTGGCTTGAAAACCTCCACTTCCCGCCAGTTTTTCCATCGCCATTTTTCCAGTTCGGGCAGAGTCCTATTGGACTATCAAAAGTGCACTCCTCAATAACAGATTCTGAAAAAAAGCGAGCGAGAAAACTGAATTTTCTAATCCATTCCTATAATTAAAAGGTGAATGGTTAATTACTCAATAAAGAAATTTCATATTGGAGAAATTCAAGGAACGAGTTCATGATAAGATAAATGTTTGAGTGTTGTAAGTCTGAAACACTTTTGTTATTGTAATGATACGGAGGCTATATAAACTAAGTAGAAGTTGTCCTTTACTTGGTTAGCGATTGTTCAGTTTCCTTGAGTATTGTGTTGATCTTCGATATTTTATCCATCATTACTGTGCTAGGATAATTATTTTGTCCTTACCGTTAACAATTATGTATCCCAAGTGGCGTCTTCTGACAGGCGATTCATTTATGAAAGAGTAATGGACCTTGCGAAAATGAAGAAATTAATTTAAGAAGCTAAATTACGCACGCCTTGTAGTTTTTACTTGTGGATTATTGGAGGAGAGACGCAGAGATGACGACACCATTAAAAATTGTTTGCTTCTTTGTTATATGTTATTGCCGCGTAGACCACAAAAGACTTCAAATTAGGGTAAGAACATCAGCGACACCTTTAAGTGCGCCTCGTGTGCCAAGTTTTAGTTCTTACCACATTTTGACGTCATCTGTCTTCTACAACTGCACAGACGCACGGCCGCGTGGAATATATTTGTTTAGTCAGAGATTAATCTTAATAACGTATTGGTTCGTATTGGTCAATATTGGTCAGTATTTAGCATTGGCTATTATTTGTTAGTATTGGTTAGTATTGGTTAGTATAGATGGGAGAAAATTTAATAAAGCTTTGTGAAGCTTACTTTCGCCCCATATCGGCCAGGTTGTACTGAAGCAATTACATCGAAGTCGAAGTGTTTTTCCTCACATGTCATCGTTAGCGAGTTGTCCACAGTGTGATTCTGTCCAAATACGTTAATTCCTAGTGTTATTGTACTATTTGGACACCATATACCAAGACAGCAAAGTCTGTAGAATGCTTTGATAAAGAAACAATAACAATTGAGAAAACGTTAGTGAAAACAAGCCACCTGTGTTAGCAGCTCACTCAATAAAACGAAGTTAATAATTGATTACTGATGATATGGCCCTAGTAATAGGCTCAGAACACACTGCAAGTTAACTGATTTACCAACCTGAAATCTGTAAAGTCGATCCAAAAGTCATTGTGATGTCTTCAATGTTCTGTTTGACTCTAAACATTAACTCTCTTTTACCTTTAGCATAAAGAAAAGAAATGATTGGATAACGAGATAACAAATCATAATCAGTAGCCTTTGTGCTACATTTTGAAGGATGCCATGATTTACTAGGTTGCTGTCCTATAATGTTGATGCCGTAGCAACATTCGTAAAAGCACACAAAAACACATTAACAAAAGCAAACAACGAGTCACAGATGGTCAAGCGTCAATATTCGATCCCATTTACTAATGAGTAATTGGCAACATAGCTGCGAAAGTGTCGAGAGCAACAATTAATCGACTCTTAATAATAGAAAAAGTAATACACCGTTCTTGGATAGGTATAAACACGATGTATTAATCAAATTTTTTTGCTACACTCCATAATTTTTTATTTAAACCTGGATTTGTTCTTTTTCGGAGGGAGAGGGGGGGGCGTAATATCACTACCTGCGTTTCCCCAATTCTGGCTGATTATAGATTCAAATAGGCACCACTGTGTACCTTATGTTTTAATAAGAGGGAATTTTAAACAACCTGGCAGGATCCATGTCGTGTGGTTTCCGACAAGAGGCCTTTCAAAAAGGCTTGTGTTATTGTGAAGACTCCAACCCACAGAAAGATGCCCACGTCTGTACGACTCTTTTGAGAAACCCTCCAGGAGATAAAACATGCTGCAACTGAGGTAAATCTGATTTGATTTTTGCCTTGAAGTCCTAGAATAAGTATCAAAATACGCTTCATAAATTCTGAAGTGTTTGTTGTCATTACTGGCAATGGCCATCGAGAAATTACTCAAGAAAACTGATAAAATTCGATTGATTGGAAAAAAGAAAAGGAAGACATATGGGATGTTGAATTAGAAAATTGTTTGCACAAAGAAAAATATATAATGATACAAAGTTCTCGTCATGTATTGAGGCCAGCTA